CATCACCAGCCATTCCCAGAGCATTCCACTGGGTGTAGAGACGGTTGTCTCCTCGATGTCCCTGATGTTCATCAGGATCTGGTAGAACCCATCGCGAAGGTCGATGGTACTGAAGATCGTGGACTGTCCCATGGAGTCAATGATGACATCCTTCCGCGGGATCGGCGTCTGCGCCGGGATCGTGGCCGAGTTCAGCTTGTTGTAGGCGTGAACAATGCGCCATTTCCCGTTGCCTTTCTTCACACAGAACGTGGGACTGGAGTGCGGAGACTTGCTCTCCCGCACATGACCGGCTCGCTTGCGTGCAGCAAAGAACTCGTCAATGTACGCGACTTGGTCGCGTGGAAGTGGCCACTGTCGAGTGACGCACCACGTGGTGCCCGGAACCAAGTCAATGTCATGCCGTACCACTTTGTCTTTGGGGAGGCATTCCGGAACACTGTCCGGGAAGATATCTTGGAACTCACGAACCAAGTCGTAGTATGGGTTCGATTCCAAATCCTTTCATACCGATGAGGAAGGATGAGACACATCATCCTCGACGGGATCGTCGGTTGTCGAGGAAATCAGGAGGTCCATCTCCTGGCTCTCCGTGATGAGAGCAATGCTGATGTTATCGTGCCCACGTAGCGCGCGGGCGAAAGAGAAATAGCTCATCTCTGGCAGCTGAGTGAACTCAGCGGCAGTCAGCGGCAACTCGGACAGGTCGCAGGCTGGGAGGACAAAAGCGTGTGCATCACGCGTCGAGTGTCCACTGGGGGTGGAATTCGGCCCATCGCCAACCATGGCGGTTCCCATATCATCGCCAACGTGGCGGTATCGCCAACTATGGCGGCTCCCGTATCATCGCCAAACGTGGCGGCATCGCCAGCCATGGCGGCTCCCATATCATCGCCAAACGTGGCGGCATCGCCAACCATGGCGGAAAGTACGTCCAGCCTCGTAGCCGAGGTGGTGGGACGCGTGACTAACGGCGTCACCAGACCAGGCAAAGGAGTGAGTTCACCACACATCACGCCTAGGTCAGTAGAAGGGTGGACGGATGCGATCTTGCGCATGGTCTTGGATCGCCAATCGATCCAGGGTTGGTGTTTCTCCAACCATCGCATGCCAAGGATCAAATCCCAGCGGTCATCGAGATCGATGACGTAGAATTGTTCGGTCGAGACAAAATCTCCCACCGATGTGGGAAGGTCGACAAGGACCTTCGGCGAGGTGATAACCTTGTCATCAGCCATCTTTACACGCACAACGGAGTGCGGCGATGCGCCCCGGGTGGCGCCATCGTAGATGGAACGATTCAGTTGAATCGATGCGCGTCGGGCATAATTTTCCGACGCACCGCTGTCGATGAGGACGCGGAACAAACGGTCGTACCCAGAGATACGACTGGGGAAGGACAACATGCGGGAAGGTTGTCGTCCGATTTGACACTGAATCACTGTGTCCGAGGCAGGGCCTACTGATCGTGTTATGCCACCACGATCAAATGGCAAGCCCACTGTAGCCTCAGCAGGACGCCTCGCGCCTAGTGAGGACTCCCGTTTCCCCTCCCGCGAGGAAACTCGCGACCGCCGCGTGCGCGATCGACAACGGGATGCGCGAAGCGGGGTGCAGGGGATGAGGCAGTACCACAAGCGGATGTCGGCGCACGGCGTGGTTGGCGACACTCGCGGGAGAAGTGTCCCGGTCGGTTGCAGTTGAAGCAATGACGGTCGGTGGTGGGTGAGTTCATAGTAGAGACCTCCATGTCATGTGGGTCGCGGGTCTTGGTAGTGGTGCGCGATTGGAGAATCTTCGGCCAGCGCGGTGCGGACGGCATCTTCGAAAGTCGAATGATATGTCCGAAAAAGGTGCGTGCGCGCTGCTGAGTCGTTGAGACCGTTGATAAAAATAGTCACCTTAGTCTCTTCGGAGAGCGAAGACTTCTGGGTGACACAGCACGCGAGAAAGCGCAAATCGTGGACGTACTCACGAATAGAGCGCTTGCCTTGCCTGGCAGATAGGTACTCCGTGCGGTACCGGAAGTCGCTGTTCGCTGGCAGGAACACTGCCTTCAATTGTTCGATGAAATCATCGAAATTGGCAAACGCGAAGCCATCTTCGCAAGTTAGGCCCCAGGCCCAATCATCCGCACGACCAGTAAGGTGCGACATGGCGAAAGACGCGGATCTCATTGTCATCGATGTTCGAAACATCCGCGGCACGACTAACTTGCTTAATCCAACGAAGCAGTCGGTGGAAGGCAAGTCCTCCATACTTGGAGACTTCGAGCTTTACGGAGCGTTACTTCGGCTTCGAAGCTGTCGGCGCGGACATGCGCACAGTCGTGTGATGGAGGGTATCGTCCAGAGCACGTCCTCGAGCGTTGAGGTCGGCAACTTCTTGTAGCGCGGCATCGCGCTCGTAAGCAAGCGATTGCGCTTGCGCCGCAATGTTTTGCTGAGCATTCTCGCCATAGCGAGCAAAGCTTTCAACCAGGTGGAGCTGCGCTGGAGGCGCAAGCGCGTGGATCAGGCTCCAGGCTTCTTGTTTCCCGAGAGTGGAACACATGTGTTGGATAGTGACAAGGTGGGTCTCGGAGAATTGGGCAGAGGACATTGCGCGGTGGAGAGGAAGGTCGATGGACGAACTGGAGTGCTACCAGGTGTAATGGGGTGCACAGAGGAAGGTATGTGGAACAAGGTATATTGTTAGCTGGGAGAGCTAGCTATCTCTAAGCTGGTTTCCTTGGCGCGCGGCTGCGCGCCAGTCATGCAATTCACGTCAAGTGAATGGTGCTGCTGCGGATGTCGCAGAGCAAGTGATTCAAGACACTTGGATCGCCAAGTGTCCTCTCGGGTTAGGATTGGAACTGACCAATGGGGTGTCGTGTCCGGATGTTATCCGGACCCCATTACAGGTATCGTAGGAGTTGAACATCATTCCAGCGTAGCCAGGACTTCGCCGAGGAAGCCAATCGCCAAGAGAAGCCGCAGCATGGCACCAAGGAAAGGGTGCAAAGTCGCCGGAGAGTTCATAAGCTCCTGCACGGTTAAGGGGTGCGCCTTCTTCTCCTCGTCGCCGTTGTTCTGTTTATTGTACTCTCTTCTGTAGGCCAACGACATAGCGAGGTGTGACTGGGTCCTAGGCAAGTGCGCATTCATATTACCCGGATAATTATCCGTCTGTATAAGTGTGTTACGTCGACAGTACAGTTGAAAGTCAGTGAGCATTGGATGGTGACTTGTTCCTGACGTATAAGGCCATCATTTTCAGCCAATGAAACGTCACTGACCAGCTGACAATACGAAGCGAAATGATTGGCCAGCGCACTTTGGGAATTATAGGATTGGCTAAAATACCAGATACAAAGATCAAGTGACGGCTTGGCAGTTACACAATTTACATTGGAACTGCCATGGCGTCGTCGTCGGTGGGCAGCTTGATCCCTCTCGGCCAGAAACCGGACAAGTCGTCCAAGAAGGATGACTTGACCGGCGGCCTCATCTCCATCGGAGGCAAGCCCAAGGCAGCGGCAGACGACACCCTGGACGACTTCGACCTGGACGACCTGCTCAACGACACCCCGAAACCATCCTCGAAAGCTCCATCGTCGTCGCCTAAGAAGTCCAGAAAGTCCAAAGACAAGGCCAGGAAGAAGAAGGTGTGTGTGCTTGTCATGTATGGTCATCACTTACAGTGCTAATGAGGGTAGAAAGACAAGGGAAACGACCTGGATGACTCGACCTCTCCGATCAAACCATCCAAGTCAAGCTTTGCATTCGACGACAACGAGCATGACCAAGCGTCAAGTCGTCCCGCGAAGCCCAAGACGTCGATGAAAAACCTCGACGACGAATTTGCCAAAGCGTTGGGCTTTGACGAGTCCGAGTTTCGTTCGTCCGCAACTCTTGATTCCCCCGACAAAACGCCCCCTTCCCCCGTGTTTCAAGCCCCGCCTCCAGTGCCAGCGCCTTCCCCACCACTTCCAGCAGACAAGGGAGCAATTTCTGCCTCCTTTTTCGACGATATTCCCGACAATCAGGCGAATATGCACAGTCCTTCCCAGAGTTTAGTGGATAGCCGACCCAGAGGCGGTCGCGGCGGACGCCGGAGCTCGTCCAACGACCAAGACACATTGGACCCCTTTGGGGCTAAAGAAACCCTCAAACCCACCGATCCGTTCGCGAAACCAAGTGTCACGCCACGTCACGATCCCTTTGGAGCAACTACTTCAGCAACAAAGCAACAAGACAGCACTCGACCGATTAACCAAGTCGAGTCCGCTTCTGACCAATCCAATGAAAAAACGCGTTTAAACCTGTCGGTCAATCCGACGTCCGAGACGGACCAAGTGCGTTCGTTTCCATGGATGAAGCCTCAGGACACCGCCACGTCAGCAGTGGTACCCTCGTTTCCGTGGATGCAAGCGAAACGCGACCACGTTGCGGACGTAGTTTCTCCCAAATTTGAGGACCCCCCCGTTAAACAAACAGAAACTAAGTCAGATCTACCCGCGTTCCCGTGGCTCAAGAAGAAGCCTGCAGAAGTTGCTATAAGTACAACGCAACTGGAAGCCAAGATCGAGCCTCCTTCGCCAATCAAAACGATCGACGACATGCCGGCATTTCCGTGGACGAAAAACACGCCCGAAGCACCCGACATTCCAGGGCAGCCGCCATCATCATCGCTGGTCGTGGCTGAGCAACTACCTCCGCCAGTACTAGCCATCTCAAAACCAGACAGTCCTGTGCGAGCAACTTTGGAAATCATCCCACCCGACCGCAGCAACGACCCCAGCAACGCCATGACGCCGCCACGTCACAAAGACCCGAGCCCCCGACGCCCGAGCCCGTCGCCGCCCAAGTTATCTACTTCCGACCTCGATATCCCGCCTTCATTGGACCTTCGCAATTCCCCCGAAAAGGTGCTTGCAATTTGGACACTGTCGTTGCTTGACTCGTTGCTTAGAAACCGAGCAACTCGTCTCCGAAACGAGCGAGTCCGTCGTCTCGCGCAGCGTTTCTCAACGACGACAGCGCGATCGTACCGGCGTTCGTAACCAACCAGTTGGCCCAAAGCCAGGAAATGGTTACTTGTTTAACTGCTCAATTAAACACGGCCAATTCCACCTTGACCACTCTGCAAGCCGAACACGCCAGTGTACGGTAAACCTGCATAACCGTACGTTAAGCGCCGTTTTGTTTGCCTCTAGGTGGTTGCTACCCTGGGGGTGGAAACCGAGCGCAATGCAGCGCTGACGGTTGACGTGGCATCGCTACGGCAAAACGAATTGGCTCTTCAGGACGACCTCGCGCGCGTTCAAACCGAGTCGGCCCAGCGACTGGACCAACTAACCAGTGCTTTAGTCGATAAACAAGTGACTACTGTTTGTTGCTGTTGAAAGCGTTAAGTAACAAATGGTTAGTCCCTGTCTCAAGAAGCTGCGGCCCTGCGAGTGCAAACGCTGGAGTTGGGGCCACTCCAGGCATTAGTGGCAGAGCTGCAGCTGGAAAATGCAGCCCTTCGAGGCCAAGTGTCAACTGCCCAAGCCAGTTTAGCTGCGAGCCAGCGGGAGTTGGTCCAAGAGAAATCTATGCATGCGCAGAGCGTCGAGCGGTTCCAGCGGGTGCAGCACGACCGGGAGCAGGAGGCGTTGCTTCAGCAACGATGGCAGGCCGACGAGCAACGGCATGCTGAAAAGGATGCGCTGGAGCGGTTGTTAACTCAAGTCCGCGCGGCTGTCAGTGGGCTCAAGGTGCGTTTGATTGTTTATTTGTTACGGTCGAGTTGCTCAGGTAGTTGCTAAGGTTTTGCAAGAAAACGTGGTCGGGAGCAAAAGCGAGTCGGAAATGCGCATATGGGGCGAAAATGAAACCCGCGCCCGGGTCTTGGTGGACATGGAAGGCACGTGCAAAGCGTTTATGCACCGATCGCAGGAAGAGTGCCACCGGTTGCAAGGTCGGAAACGAAGAGCTCCGTAAAACAAAACGGTCCTTAACCACAACATACCTATGTAGCGTTGTTGAACGCGATGGAAGGCACGATGCGGACGCTTCGGGGCGACCACATGGAGGAAAAGGAGCGATTGCGGTCGGAGCAATCTCGACTGGATGAACTCGCAGGACATTTCCAGGCCCAGACAACCTTGTTACAAGAACGCACAGATACAAACACCCGGGTGGTCACCCAAACATTGAGTACATTTCGTACGTTTCTGCGATCGTTGCTGAGCATTCGAGTGGTGCAGGTGCGTACATTCAAGACATTCGAGTCGCGGAAGCCAGGTTGCACACTCGACGCGAACAACTCTTGGACGAAGAGCGCCAACTGCACTTTGCTCGAGCGGTACAGTTCCAGTGCTAATTCGATGTATAGATATTATTCACTATATATATAGGCATTTGCCGCACAACAAGAAGAAGCCCTTCGGGACCAGCGCGTGGCCCAGGAGAAGCTCCATATGGAGCAAAAGCGAGTGGAAGACAAACTCCACCGAGTGCGACACGAAACGAACGCGTTCGAAACGCTCGTGCACGCGCATGCCGACGAAATGAACGCCCTGGCCGCGTACCAAGTGCAGCTGGAACATGAAAAGGAACGTTTACAAAACGCCGCGACTCGAGTCGAACACATGGCGCAGCAGGTGCGCGAAGCGTCCGAGCACAGCGCCGCCATGGAAGCCCAGGCCAAAGTAAGGAAACGTCAAATATATATTGTGAATTCGCTATATACTACCGAAATTCGCGTGGTTTGTCTAATCAATATTGAATCATCTGATTGGCTGACTATACTTGTTATTTCTGTAAGAGCCAATCAAATCTAACATTGGATGAGCCAATAGCGCCGATTCGTGATTCGATTCGATGGGTCTGGAAATTTGTACCGAATCCACAATATGCATATATTACCTATATATTGATACTTGCAAGGTATATTTTATATATATATTCAAAATTGCCAAATATAGATATATATGTTGTATGCATATAGGCCAAATACTATATGTATGTATTGGCAAATATATGTATACTTTGATATTTGCCATAGATATATTATGTATACATTTTGATCATATTGATATATATATATATATATATATATATATATATCCAGGAAGCGATGCGGGAAGCTGCGACGCTGGTGAGTCAGGTGCAAGAAGAAAGGAGTCGCGTATTGAAACAAGCGGGCCAACTGGACGACCGCGAGCGGCGTCTGCACGACGAAATGCGCAGTTTTATGGACACGACAAGGCGGCAGAGGGGGGGCGGGGCTTCGTCCGGATTTCCATCCAGACAGAGGAAGGAGGACGAGAAGGTTGCGCCCGTCCGTCCGGTGTTCAACCTGCCGCCGCCGCCACCACCCGCGAGGCGGCCGACGACTGAAAAGGTGTCGATTACTGCTTTAAGGGGAGATCCCACTGGGTTGAGTCCGAGGTTTCGTGAAGAAATGGAGGCGTTCTGGAGCAACGGTACAACGACTGGGAGAGTTTAGTGTATGTACATACTACAGTAGGAATGAAATGATATGTAGGAAACCAAGTGCAAGTGGACGACGTACGCAACCGCATGCTGTTGTCATGCAACAAGTCGAGTGGTATTACCCTTCCAAAGAGCACCCGCGCCACACCTCGAAGTGCCATGGCAAGTGCATTTGTACTGTGAAGTGCCGTGAATAACTACGTAACGTTATTAATAGCATACTGTTAACGTTAATACTCCCTTCGACACTCATTCCAAAAACTGGCAGCCCATCCGTTGAGATACAGTTTAGTCATTCATATCGACCATTCGTACATACACTAACGTTACTGCTGTATGCATAAATATCAGCGTACGAGTCAGCGACTGCATTAATTCGTGTAGTAAGTTTGTCGTTTCTGTTGGCAACATGGAGTTTACAGTGGCATTTCTATCGCCCTTTCGAGTTGCTCTCCACATTGCACAGTTTTACATCGAATCGTGGTAATAAGCCCAAATGGTCTGAAGTTCGATTTGGTGCCGACGCCATCACAGAGATGGCCATCGTCGCATTTCATATGGAAGCTCATCTGTGACAAAGTGGAACATCCGATTATTGTGAAACGTTTGTGATGAGTTTTTGAAACAAACTGCATTTCTGGATGTCGAGTTGTATGTCAGGATGCCGAGTTGTATGTTATATAGTATTTATTAATAATAGTGTGCAATTTCGTGGGCAATATCACGGTGTCGCAGGCAGCCCAGCGATGTAGCTTAAGTTTACATACTTCCCCTGCTTCGTATTACTGCCAGCACTTCGAAGTGGCACTTTTTTCGTATTACTACCACCATTTGACAATAGTTTATATGTTAATCAAGTAAATTTAATATCCGGACAGCATCCGGACGAATATTTGTATAGGTACTACTGTTCAGGACCGCTACTATTATACATACTAGTATTTCGTATTTTTATTCCGAAAACGTTTAAATAACTTGAGTTTTGAACAGGTAGATTTCATTTTCGCACAATATATACCAAATTCAGTTTTTCATGGTCGAATTTCGTGGCTTGGTCGCATCAAATTTGGGCAAAATATGAATTTGTAGTGCCCTTCTGAAGGCAAATGGTGGTAGTAATACGAAAGAGAGGAAGTACTACGTAGTAAACAGGAAGCAAGGCGGAGTCGGTGGCCGCTCGCCGACCGTCGACTGCAGAAACGTACTCGTCAGCTATTTTTTTTATATATTTGCTTTATCCCTTCAGTGGGCTATAATCAAACGGCGCGACGCTGGTATTATTGTTGCTCTAGTTTTTAGATCATTCAGTTTCAGGTCTTATTTTCAAAACTTAAAAGCTTTTAAAACTTGATTTCTCGACAATTATTTTTTGTACTATGTAGTACTGGTATAAATTTCGCTTGGTATAAAAATAAACAAGTCGTATTGTGAATTCGCTCTAAACTCAAAAATTCGCCTGGTTTGTCGAATATGTCGAATCAATATTGAATTACGCCGGAGTTCGGATTGGTTGAATATACTTCTCAAAAATGGATTAGCCAATAGCGTCGATTCATCGATTCGACGGGGTCTGGAAATTCGTATCGAATCCACAATACAACATATATATTACTATTGCCATGTTCAAAAGACTACTAATTACTATTATACGTATGGGCGCAGTTCCGTGCCAACTTGGTTCCGTGCCACGACGCATGATTGGTAGAAAACAAATCACTCTGAAATTTTCAGCCAATCAGATGCAATTTTTGGCAGATAACTGGATAAAATCAAGTGGCCCGGAACTGTTTTCAGCCTATCAATATTTCCACTCTTTTAATTCATTTTCCATCTACCCAGTACACTAATACGAATTTCGACATGATTTTAAGTTCTACGAACTGCATTAATTCTCCTCTTTAAGAAACACTATTATAATAGCAATTTGGAGTAAAGGAACCCCTCCATCGAAGGGTCCCAAAAAGTGTCACGGAACTGCGCTCATACGTATAAGTACAGATTAGGTTGATTTTTTGATAAGTCGTCGTCTGGTAATGGCTTTGGCAATGGCGTTCTTAGTGCACTGGAGGAATCGGTCCTGCTTAGTATGTTCTGGTCCGTGTCCGAGGTCATAGCCCCATATCTTGGCTTCTTCATCTGGAGTCAAGTACAGTCCGTTGGTGGCAAACAAGGAAGACATCAGCTGCAACGATCGGATCTTGGTTTGGTTGGGACTCACGCGTTCATATTCGCACCTAGCACCTTGATCAGCCACGACACATAACTTTAGCACAATTACATCATCACACGGTGGCGCTGGAGGTTCGTTGTAGGGAACAACTCGTCATTGTTCACATGTTGCCCCACAAATGAGATACAGTTGAGCCCTATATGCGCCACGCGGCTCACAAAGTTGGTCCGGATAGTGTTATTGTGGGTATCGTGGATACGATGGTGGATCGCTGGGTTTAATGGCGGGTCGTGGCTCTGGTAGTTGCTTAGCAACAACCTCTATACAATGAACTACTCAAACGTACGTTCAGATTCTCGTGGCCGAGAAACGTATCGCTGGTCACGACCTTGTAAAACACTTCGAGCGGCTGGTTTACAATATACTGGATGCGTTGCACAGCAACGAGGCCGTCGCCGTCGTAAAAGTACACGTAATCGTCGATGGTTTCACCAGACTCGGGCGAAGGGAAGCCATATTGCTGGAATGCATGCGTGGCGTTGTGCGCCAGTTGCTTGGTAATCCAGTCCACACCGATGCGCCGCGTGTCCGCATGCTGGACGAGCCCCACGTTTCTCCATATCGATGAAATCGGGTACGCCTGATCAAGACAAGTGAGGAAAGGGACGGAGCATACTTGTCGATGATGAAGGGGGGGGGTGATCCTTACCGGAATGCGCGTGAACAACCACACCTTGAGGTCCTCTATCACCGCCCGCCCGCGGTGCACTTGATGCCGCAGCTGTCCGTTCCGCGCCACGGCCGCGTCCTCACCTTCACGCAACGCTAGCGCAATGTCTTCCCACGACAAGATCGAAGACGATGACGACTTGGATGTGACCACCCCGCGCAACCGAGCGCGGGCTTGGTCAAGCATCTCCTCCAAGACCACGACCCGTTCTCTCTGGAATGCGATCTCCAGCTTGTCTTGCCGCCGGTATGTCGCCTGCTTCTGTCTCTGGTACATGTTCTTCTTCAACCTTCGCGTCGTAGCTTTCATGGAGGCAGCTTCGAGATTGCTTGCCGCAGCGACTGTCGTGCCAAAGTTGTGGTTCGACGACGCCATGGCTGTGGGTGAAACGACAATCGCAGATAACACATATGATTGGACAAAATACATATGTAAATGTTGTAATTGATTGGCATTTCGAGTTGTAATAAAGGTTGACTCTCAGTTTGTTTTACTTGGATTTTCGACTGTAATACATACAGTTGAAAATCCAAGTCCAAGTATAGTACTGACAGTACAGTAAATCTTCACATCTTGTATTTTCGACTGTATGTATTAATACAGTCGAAAATCCAAGTCGATCAGTCAACCTTTGTATCTCGAAATAGAATGGCATTTATAAATACGAAGTATCATTTACTTCACTTCGAAGTACTGTACTACAGTAGTATTCTTAATAATACTATTTACAGTTATTAATAACTCTTGATAGCCTAACTAATACAGTACTTCGAAGTATGTTGAATATTTTCAACTGCGAATTGCCAAGACGAGTACACGTACTAGTACTGGCTAGGTAGTACAGTATTGCCCATCGAAGTACAGTACTACAACTGTACTAGTACAGTGCTTATTAATGCTTTAGTAGCATACTAGTACTACTGTAGTTACCTTCTGCAAACGGGATTTCCTTGTGAAAGGCAGGAAGGGGATGACCACGTCGACGGCCAATATTTGGTAGAACGGGTGTTTTGCGTTAATTGGATAGAAATTGTTCTGCTCTGAATTTTTCGCCATGGTCCATACAATATTCAAGATATTTAAGCTATTTCAAGCAATAGCCCAATTTGTAAAAATTGTGTTATACTACTATTAATACTCGCATTGAACTATTTTAATAGTTGAAAACTTGGGACAAGTATACTTTTTTACGTAGTACGACTATTAAAATCACGGGAAATAGAATAGCATTCATACAAAATACCCAGTCCAGCGCTTCTCGCCCTACCCACCCACACCTCCCAACGGCACCATGCCGATCAAGGACAAGGTCAAGGCAGCAGCGTACAAGAAGGAGTTCAACAAGAAATGGTACGAGAAGAACAAGGAGAAGCGCATGGCGCAGATCAAGGAGCGCAAGCAGAAGAACAAGGAGCGGGAGCTCGCGTACTCGCGCAAGAACTACGAGCTGCACCACGACAAGATCCTCGAGCGGAAGAAGGAGTATCGGGAGCGCAACAAGGACACGTTGGCGGCCAAGCTGAAGATCTACCGAAATCGGCCTGAGGCGAAGGAGGCCAGAAGGGCGAAGGACAAGGAGTACAGACTGCGTCAGAAGGCAGCGAAAGCAGCTGCCGGCGACGGGAAGGGTGACGCAGTTCCAACGAAAACTCGACCGACTGCAACCAAGAAGTCCAAGCCCGCGGTGGACCCCCGACAAGATGTTGCCATGAGTCTCGTGGCATTGCATGACTTGCCCACGTCGAGCGACGTTAAACAAGCACATGGCGTGGAATTTGTAGTGATCTAAGTACTTTTAACACTGATTCTTTGACAGTGAGCGAAAGGTCGCCAGGTGGTCGGTCTTACATGGTTCAGACCCCTGCGATTGATTCCTCCACAACTCCATAAGCTTACACCATTCCTGGCGTGTTTCGCAGATGAGGCGACGATACATAGTTCCATCATCCAGAGTCCATCATCTCAAGTGCATGTGGGCGGGAGGTGTCTTAAGGTCATCCCTGGCCGCTGTATCAGTCAGTGTATGGAGCGGATGTATTGGTATACTGTATTGTATATTGTAAAATGAATTAACTGTTTAAATCGATAAGTAAAGAATTCAAGATAACAATTGAAAAGGTGCTACAGGTTCCTGCATCGTTTGATGTCTTGTGTAAATGCATCAATCTAAGCATCTACAGTCGGATTGACGAATAACATGCATCTATTTTGAAACCGGTATATCTCGACAAACATAATCCTTCCTCCCACCAGCAGCATCATCATGGTCTGGGACATGGTCTAGGCGGCAACGTACTGCAAGAAGTGGTACGAGGCGAACAAAGAGAAGCGCAGATCAAAGCGTACCAGCAGCAACACAAGGAGCAGGAGCTCAAGTACTTGCGCACGAACAAATTGCGGCACCACGACAAGTAAATAGGGTGCGATGGAATCTCAACAAGGACGTGTTGGCAGCCAGACGAAAGGTCTATCGAGGCTCGCGAGGCGAGGAAGGCGCGGGACAAGGAGTACAGACTACGTCGGAAGGCAGAGAAAGCGCGCGTCGGCGATGAAGAGAACGATGAGCGAACGACGACGTAGTACCAACGACTCGACCGATTGCAACGAAAAAATTCAATCAATTGGCGGACGCCCGAAAGAAGACGCTGCTCGGAGTCTCGTGGCATTGCATGAAGTGTCCCCCGCGTCGAGCGAAGTTCAATATATTTGGACGTTTCTCTGGGGTTTCAACAAGCAAGTGACAATGCCTGTAATGGTTGTAGTACGCTTACTAGTATGCTTATACGATGTTGACGATGCGGATATATGTGACTAGTCATGCATGTTTAATACAATGTGGTCGTGGTTTCGGTCAGCTGCTCATAATGTGGCCCAAGAGCTCGCGGTCGTCTTCGCTGAACGCGACTGGATCCGACTGCAGTGGCATCGGCTCCAACAGTTCCGGGTCATGGAAGGCGCTATCGAGTTGATCGTGTTCCTTGGTTTGTTGTGATGACTGGCGTTTGGCCGCGTACTTCTTTTGGCATGCATTGGCTTTCTCTCGATGGAGGTCACATAGGGCATGGAGGTGGCCGTCCTTCTTGACCGCGCGGCGGCGATGACAGTTCGAGTACGCGTATCTGCATCGCTGGGACACGTCGTTGTTGTCCATGATGTGCAAGTTTGAAAATGCCGACGCTACTGGCAGAGTTAAACCATGTTGAACGTCAACAATGCAACACAGTACGGTCTACGTAACGGCTATAGACATTTCAAACGGGTGAAACTATTCCTCACACCGGTGGATTTAAGGTCGGTTGGGCAGGAAGCGGACATTTCAACGACGTGAATCTATTCTGGACCAAGCACCGTACGCGTGAATTCCCGTAACACGTCACGACATGTCAAACATGTGACAAAAAACAAAAGTACAGTACCAAGAGACACATTAGCAACGGCTCTGTGTGGTGTGGTGTATATCATGTTACGGTTTCGGTAGGGCAAAATGCACTTTGCAGTTTGTAATGTCGTGCAGTTCAATGTCCCCTTCCACCGTCTCTGAGTATGTATATATCTCTTATACTTTTCATTTCTGAATTTCGCACGTTCAATCTACGACATACTTCGAAGTATATGGGAACCCCCTTTAGTTCTTGGTGTCCTTCTCTTCACGGGGATGGCGGGTGTCCATGCTGCTCCATCAAATTGCGCCGACAAGTACGCTGGTTCCAGTGCCATACATTCACGGACGGATTTTCGCAGTGCACCCCTTCTGTCCATCTTGGCATGACGACACCGCTCCCCTTCTTCCTACATGCAGCGCCAACTACGCGCCATGTCACGGAAAAGGATGGCCTTCTCTGTTTGTGTGCTGTGCGGCCAGAACCCGTACTTGTCCCTTTGTGAGCCCAAGAAAACCCCGTCCAGAAGCAAAGGACGTGGACGAGAGTATCTCGAAGAATTCACGCACGGCGATACGCAGCCTTGTGAAAAGGACTTGACCTGCGTCAAGATGACCGACAGGTACTCGCACTGCGTCCGGCTCTCCAAGGGCGAAGGAGCCTGGGACGACGACGAAGATGCCGCGTCAGTGTACCTCCCGCGATGGGCCGACTGCGGCGCAGGGATCACCGAGAAGTGCAACCCCGAAGACGTGTGCAAGGAGTACCACGAAGGTAGCGGCAAGTTGCAGTGTACGATGCAACGTAACTCCAACTTCTTCGGGAACGGAGCGAGCAAGTACGACGACCGCACGCAGCCGTATCTGGGCGAATGCAACCGATAAGATGTCGGGGCTTACGGCGATAACGTCATACTAGTAGTCACGAAACGCGGCGCCAGTGACGCCGCCGACGTTGGAATTGTTTTGAATAGTTATGAATATTATGTTGTTAATCGAAATTCGTCAGAACAGTGTGGTTTGATTGGTTCGAATTTCGAATCGATTTGCCAACATAATCGCTTGAAAATAAATCCCGATGGGTATAGAAATTTCTTGTTCACAACCACCTGGCGTCAACTGGCAAGGCAGAAGTTGAAATCAACCAATCCGATCCCAGGACTTTCCCGAATACCCTTGTCCAATCAGATCACGATATTGTTAAACTTACAGCCAATGAGCGTCGATCGTGTGGGGATTGCAGTTGGGCATTGTCGTATTTGACATGAGCTACCGAGAAAAAAGCGGCGGACGTGGCGGTTCCAGCGCCGGCCGAGGAAGCGGCGGACGTGATGGTGGTGGTCGCGGCTTTGGTGGACGAGACGGAGGGGGTCGTGGTGGCGGACGTGATGGTGGAGGCGGCCGTGGCAGTGGACGCGGATTTTCCGATGGAGGCGGCCGTGGCGGTGGACGTGGCGGTGGACGAGATGGCGGACGTGGTGGTGGTCGTGGGTTTTCAGATGGAGGCGGTCGTGGTGGTGGACGTGGAAGCACTCCTACCGTTCAAATGCCTAGTGGTCCCCCTCCTGCGCCGGTCAAGTCAAAGCTCCTTCAACCTGTGGCGAACCCGACCTTTCCGTCACGTCGAGGATTTGGTCGGGCGGGTAAACCAGTGACATTGTGGGCGAACCATTTTGCCGTCAAGATCAATCCAGCCCAAGGGGACGTATTTCACTACGACGCGTCGATTGCCGCCGAGGGAAAGACTCCGACGCAGGAGACCCCGCCGAAAGACCTGTGCACCGCCGTGCTGCAAGCTTTGATCAACTTGTTCAAGACTGAGTACCCGACTATTGCCGTCGTCGCGGATGGCCGTCGTAACTTGTACGCGGCCAAGCTGCTTCCTTTTGACGCTATGATTTTCAAAGTGCCACGGATGAAAGAAGGCCGCACGGAGATTTTTGACGTGCACGTGGTGGCTGCCAACCCCGTGGCGGTGCGCACGGAGCAACTGCACGAACTGTTTGCCGGTCGACTCAACTACACTCCATACGACGCTATCCAAGCGCTGGACATTGCGATGCGGTACTCTGCGTCGACGCGGTTCACGACTGTGGGGCGCAACTTTTTCACCAACTCGGGTGCAGTGACGTTGGGCGAAGGCGCCGAGCTGTGGTTTGGGTACCACCAGAGTCTGCGGCCCACGCAGACGCAGCTGACGTTGAACATCGACATGGCTGCGACCGCGTTCGTCGAGTCGATGGCGGCGTTGGATTATCTCGTCGAGACGTGTCGCCTCCAGGACGTTCCCACCATGTTGACAAAGCCCCAAGCGTCGAACGCGGCGAAGGCGTTCCGCGGCATCAAAGTGACGGTGACGCATCGGGGTACGGTCGAACGATCGTACCGCGTGAACGGGCTCAAGAAGACGGCGAAGGAAACGACGATCGAACTGGACGGCGGGCGGCGCGTGACGGTGGCCGACTACTTTGCGACCAACTACCGCCCCCTTCGGTACCCGAACCTACCGCTTCTGCACGTGGGGTCGCCCAAGGGCTCGATCTTCATGCCCATGGAGGTATGCCACGTCTTGGGCGGCTACAAGTGTCCTCGCAAAGCCACCGACAACCAGGTGGCCAACATGATTACGTACACGGCGACGCCGCCTGAGGAGCGCCGCCAGAAGATCGTGGCGCGCGTGCAGGAAGCGCATTTCACCGTGGACAACACACTGGCGGCGTTTGGCGCGTCGGTGGACCCGACCATGCTGACGGTCGAAGCGCGCGAGCTGGCGGCGCCGTCGATGCTGTACGCGCACAACAAGACGGAGCAGCCCCGCGATGGCGCGTGGAACATGCGCAACCTGGCGCTGTTCCAGGGCATGGCGTTCAAGTCGTATGCGCTCATGAGTCTGTGCGACAGCCGGCGCACAACGGACGCGGACGTGTTTGACTTCTTCAACGCGCTGGTGACGCACATGAAGGGTCTGGGCATGACGCCGCCGGGCGCCAAGCCGCCTTTGGTGACCCGCGGCGGCCGCGGCGACCCCATCGAGCGCATGTTCCAGGAGGCGGTGGACAAGGCGACGCGGGTGTTTGGGCAGCGGCCGCAGATTGTGTTTTGCGTGGCGCCAGTGCAAGACGCGCTCAATTACGGCGACCTCAAGCGCGCGTCGGACACTGTGTTTGGCATCCCGTCGCAGATGATGCTGGCCAAGCACTTGGCCAAGCAGAACCCCATGTACATGAGCAACTTGCTGCTCAAAGTCAACACCAAGCTGGGCGGCCGCAACGCCGTGTGCAAGGACCCGCTGCCCAAGATCTCTTCGGACGCGACCATCATCTTTGGCGCGGACGTGACGCACCCCGGGCCCATGGACAAATCGCGGCCGTCGGTGGCGGCGGTGGTGGCGTCGACGGACAAGTGGGGCGTCCGGCATGCCGCCACGATGCGCCGCCAGGGCCATCGCGTGGAGCAGATTGAGGACTTGGAATCGATGGCCGTGGACATGCTCAAGGCGTTTTACCGCGAGACCAAGCGCAAGCCGGCGCAGCTGTTGTTTTTCCGCGACGGCGTGTCGGAAGGCCAGTTCCAGATGGTGCTCAACTTTGAAGTGTCGGCGCTCCACGCCGCGTGCGCCAAGCTCGAAGCTGGCTACCGTCCCAAGATTACGTTTGTAGTGGTAGGCAAGCGCCATCACACGCGGCTGTTTGCCACGAGCGCCGCGCACGCCGACCGCAGCGGCAACGTCAGGGCGGGTACGGTCGTCGACACTGGCATTTGCCACCCCACGGAAACCGACTTTTACCTGATGAGCCACGCGGGTCTCCAGGGCACGAGCCGCCCCGCGCACTACCACGTGCTATTGGACGAGATTGGGTTCACGGCGGACGAGCTGCAGAATTTGGCGTTTCGTCTCACGCACACGTATGCGCGGTGCACGCGGTCCGTGTCGATCGTGCCGTCAGTGTATTACGCGCACTTGCTGGCATTCCGCGCGCGGTTCTTTCTGGTGGACGGCAGCGAAGGAGGCTCGAGTGTCGATAGCGCCACGACGTTTACGGGGCAGCTGCTGGAAGCACACCCAGACCTCAAACATGTCATGTATTATGTCTAAGGGGAATGGATCCATACGTACGGGGTTAAGGTTGATATTAATACTAGTAGTATACTAGTAATGAATAAAAAAATGGATGAGTTGAACGAGTGTATAACCAAAGTGGTGATTGGTGAAGACTGGGGGGGGGTATGAAAGATGTAGAGAGAGAGCTAGATGGTTATATAACTGTTGACGGCATTATTAGGTTGATTGTATGGAGGATGGGTTGGGGTGGTCATGCAGCCGAACTAGGGGCGTGGTGGTGGCGTGTAGAAGTATTAGCGGGGGAGTCAAGACTGGACGCTTGGCAGTCGCGTAGCTCCAAGATGGACTGGTGCATGGCGACCATCCACATCATGCGCTCTTCCCGCGTGAGGACGGGTCTGGTGGTCGCCCGGGGTGGTGGCGTGAACCGCATCGTCGGCACTTTGGTTCGCACCGGATACCGACGAGTGTCCGGTGTGGGCTCAACATTTGCACTGGGCTCGGGTGTGAGAGTTGATACCAGTGGACGAGCAACCACCGGACAACTTGGTTCTTCAATCACTTCTTCGTCCATAGAAGTCGCCAGCATTGCCGCGATACTGCGCGACATTTTACACTCGGAATGCTAGAAAAGTAAGTCTCTACTTTGACGACCTTGTCGAATTGGCCAAGCATCCGGATAGCGATCTGTTCTGTACACAAGTGAAAGTGGTTGCTTCATTTTCATGAGTATTTTCTACGATTAATACCACCTCGTAGGTACGAGTACGTAGTCGATCGCTACATGTACAAGAAGAAAGGGGTGGTGATTATTGCTCCCTGAGGTCCTCATTGGGATACATACTGTAACGAGCTTACAGTATTGGGATGCATATGTATTCGAGTCGCGGACCAAAATAGTGCTTTTTACTGCTTTTTTTACTGCTTTTTTTACTCGGTCCTGTATATGGTGTTTTTGTTTCCTACCACTTCCTACCAAAACCCTACCAGGTCCTACCATCCGTATAATTCAGCAGTTATTCGTATCCCCCGAAATACCGTACTTACTTCGAAGTACTTCATGAAAATAATCGGTATTTGGCACAGGATCCATTGCCCCAACGAAGACAATTTACTTCCCAGGGTGTACGTACAGTAGCCCGCCCACAGTTTACAGTCAAGGAGCGCCGATTAATGCACCTCT